AAACCATTTCAGGTGACTACCTCTTGAAGCTCATGGAGAGAATGCCAAGAGTGTGCAAAGCAGTAATCAGAGCAAAGGGTGGCTATTTTGAAGAAACTAGAATATAAAACATGTTTTCAGTTATTTCACCTTTTTTTGTTAAGTACATAACTCCACATGTGTTCATTCATAGTTTTGATGCCTTCAGTGAGAATCTACAATGTAAACAGTCATGAAAATAAAGAAAACGCATTGAATGGTCGGTGTAATAAGTAAATTGTACAAAACAAAGCTAATAACGACACAGACTGAATGGCTGATTTTACATTATTAGCTGATATTAGCTGACAGTTTAGCATACACTAATACTGCACAATGTATTGTGTATTAACACTGGGCTGTTTTAAATAATAAGGTACTAAAGAACAGATCTGTGGTCAGTGAGATGTGAAGCTTCTTAAAATAACACTGAAGCCCTGACTATATCAGACTGATCTTAAATGAAAGCTGTTATCTTGAATTTCTATTCTCTGTTTAACTGTTAACTAATGCTTTAATGTATTTATGTTTGAGCGTGACATGTCTGCTCGATTTATTTGTATACAGCAGCAAGCTGATATGATGCTTTTTTACATGAGAATTCAGTAAAATGGAGGTTGAACCATGAACAGAAAGTACAGATCGCCTGTTAAGCATTTAATTAGTTTACTCTGATTAATTAAAATAATAGGAGACTGCGAACAAACAGATATATGAGTTTGATAACATTTTAAATAATTCTGAATCAGATCTAACAGGATGAGACATCCTGTACAGATCTCGTCCACTTTTTCAGGTGAGGCGCAGTTCAGCCTAATCTAACGTTACTGAGTAACATTCCACAACTGCTTGTAAAAGAGTATTTCCACAGTGTTATATTTGCACTTTTACTTAGTATAAGAAATCAGAATGCTCCCTCCACCACTGGTTTCATAGCGGTTTAAAGTCATAATAAAACAATGAAACAGTACAAACCTGGTCCGTTTAATCGGTCGTCAGAGTTGAAAACAGCACCAGTTAGTTTCCGCTGTCTGAGATTCTCGTTTGTACTAAACTCAAGCTCCTCCATTTTTAATAAATCACAGCAGCTTTTCCTCCTGACACACCCCGTTGAAACACCCCGATGTATTCCTGGTTATGTTCGTGTCTTGTCTATGGTCAGCTAGCAAGCTAACTTCATTAGCTTCGCAATATACGAGAGGATAATTTGTATGGTTTCAAGTACATAAAATAAGACAGAGTCCATTCAAACACCGTTATCTGGACATAGTGAGTCCATGAATAATACAGTTTAGTTTCTATTGAATAGTCACTCTGACTAGCGCTGTGTGGTCGAGTTCCGTCCCCGTCTATTTTTCAGCTAACACGCTAAGCTAACTTAAGTTAGCATTCTTAGATAACAGAGAGGAGTCTGTGACAAAACGTACCGAAAAATTACACAAAGTCCACTTAAACACGTTTACTCAAACATACAGGCTCTTGTGGTTCACTCCGATTGTATCTGCTGAACTACGTGACGGAAAGAGCAGGTCTCGCGACGGAGAAATCGTTTAACATCAAAGACCCGAGAACAAATCTCTTTACTAGGCTCCTCGTGTTAGCCACAGGAAGTGAATATGATTCTTCTTCTTCTTCTTCTTCTTTCATTTAATGGTGGATTACAACCAACTTTTTCAGGTGTATACCGCCACCTGCTGTACCGGAGTGTGTAGTATCATAGTGTATACTTAGGTTACATTCTAAACAGAAAAACAAACAAACAAACAAACAAACAAAAAAAGGGGTAAAACTCCCTTATATTCTATTTTCTAATCCTGTATCTTTGAGGAAACTAAATACTGCCCTGTAACATTCCCTCATTTTCCCACTCATCCCTAAAATTCCTTCCAAGCTCCATTCCCGTTCCAGCTCATACATCCTATCACGCAACCTGTTCCTTTCTAACTCATACTTACTACATTTCAAAATGACATGCTCAACATTCTCTGGAGTATCACACCTATCACACTTATCAGATGCAAACTTTGCCATTAGATACAGAGTTGATTTTAAACTAGTGTGTCCAAGTCTTAACCTGGAAATGATTACTTCTTCTCTTCTGCATTTCCTTTAAAAACCTTTGTGTTAACTAACTTTTGTATTTTATAGTAGTGTCTCCCTTTAACATCCGTATCCCACTTCTTCTGCCACGAATCTATCACTGCCTTTCTGATTATTGATTTTGCCTCACCTTTTCCAAAGGGAATTTTCATTATCTCTTCATTACTTAATCTTAAAGCTCTTTTGGCAATATTGTCTGCTTTTTCATTTCCACTAACACCTACATGTGCATGAACCCAACAAAATTGTACAAAAATTTCACTTCTGTGTAATCTCCACATTATCATTAATATTTCCATCACTAGATCCTCTCTTATTGATTCATTTGTATTTAAGCTCTGATGACCACTCTCTCAGGCCTAACCTCTTCTATCTATTATGGCTGTTATTTCTGCAGTAAATACAGACAATCTATTATTAATTCTTTTACAAATACTTACATTAAACTCTGGTATGTATACTCCTGTTCCTACTTGTTGACTCTCTGGATCTTTAGACCCAAAGTTATAATAATTCCTCTTCAAATAATCTTCAACATAATACTTGATGTTATCCATATTCATCTTGCTCCACTCGCTCTTCTGTTCTACAAGTTGTAAATTTACATTAGGTACTGGGAGTATCCAAGGAGGAACATTGCCCCATACAACACCAGGTCCAAATTCCAAATTATTTAATCCATATTTTCCTGCTATAGACTTGATATTCCATCCAAACCCTCTCCGGTCTAGGTATCTTTGGATAATTCGTAATTCATTTCTAATTGACAAATGAAAAAAACGTTATTTTGTTATTTCTTTCAAAACAAAGAACGGAAAAAACATTTTTGATGTCAGAAAACCGTTTTTGATGTCAGAATCAAAAAACGAAAAACCAATCAAAACCAAGCCGTTTTTTCGTTATTGAATATTCCTTTTCTCCTTTTTCGTTTTGGAATGAAGAATGAAACAACCCATGGAGTCACGTGGTTTTTTGTTTCTCAATTTAAAACCAAAAACGAAAAACGAAGTCACGTGATCCATTGGTTTTTGCAAATTCCTTTTTTCATTTCTCATTTGGGACAGACAGTAGCACGGTGGGCAGACAGGAAGCGGAAGTGAAGTGTAAAAACGTCAAAATAAAATCCAAGAGGGTAGAATCATATATATGGGGCAAGTTAGGCTGGAAATATTTTTAAATTTTGTATGTTTTATTTCCAAAACTTTTCCCTATATATATTGTACCATATGTAAACGTCACATATCTAGTAAAATGACTGTAAATTTTTATATTGTATTTTCAGACTGTTTTGGAATGTTTTTCCTCTCCCAAAATTTGTCACTACCAAAACATATGGTATTATATTATACAAAAAAATATATATCAACCTGTTATGCTTGTTCCTTCCCTTGTTTAAAGATTTAATTTTGTTTTACAAATTTTGACCGAAGGTTTTCACAATTAAATCTATAAAAATTAATATTTTAACAAATTTCGAAGTTCAAATTATAGAATTCTTCAAAATCTAAATGCAATCTTTCTTTGTAAACTGCATAACGCTAATCAGATTGATTTCAGAGTTAATAATTGATGAAACAGAACATAAATGTAACCGATCAGCATCATAATACTTTAGCTGATAACTCAATATACTTTATTTTTTACAAAACACCCAGCGTTTCAGTAGTGACTGTCCTGTTTCGGTAGTGACTGCACTGTTTCGGTAGTGACCATTATTCTGTTTTAAGGTTGCATCATATTTCCTCAAATGTATGCCTTATGGTGGGAATTACAAATTCAAAGACAAATGTTTTGTGGTCAATAAAACAATTTAATTTTTGAGAGGGCAGAGCAGAGTAGAATAGAGTAGAGTAGAGTAGAGCAGAGCATAGTGGAGAAGAGCAGAGTAGAGTAGAGAAGAGTATAGAAGGGCAGAGTATAGCAGAGTATAGTAGAGCAGAGTAGTGCAAAGTAGAACAGAGCAGAGTAGAGCAGAGTAGAGCAGAGTAGAACAGAACAGAGTAGAGCAGAGCAGAGTAGAGTAGAGCAGAGTATAGTAGAGTAGAGCAGATTATAGAATAGAGCAGAGCAAAGCAGAGCAGAACAGAATAGAGTAGAGTAGAGCATAGTAGAGTAGAGCAGATTATAGAATAGAGCAGAGTATAGTAGAGTAGAGCAGAGCAGAGTAGAGCAGAGCAGAATAGAGTAGAGCATAGTAGAGCAGAGTAGGACAGAGCAGAGTAGAGCAGAGCAGAGCAGAGAAGAGCAAGACTTTGGACCACAAAATTATGGGGTTTAACTACTGACCATTCCATTTTGTCAGTTTGTTGTTTGTCTGTTAGTGACTGTTTCGGTAGTTTCGGTAGCTATTTTTCAGGATAACTAAAGAATGCTAGCAGTCACATGTCTAACAAGCACATGTTTGAAGAGTTGTTCACACAGAAAAACAAACAAACAAACAAATATTTTGCATAACCGCCCCCCCCCCCCCCCCCCC